GGGGGGGGGGGCTCTTCTTCCTCGCTGGGCCCCCCCAAGTGGCGGAACGCCAGGGCCCGGTCGCAATTGCGACCGCTGCGACCCTGGTAGTTCCGCCAGTGGCCACAGGGCCAAACTCCAGGAAACCTACCAGTATCTTTGTTTGACTTTTTTTAAAATTTTGCTGTGAGAACATACAAACTCCATGCAAACAGTGTCCCTTGTAGAATCCAGGACCATAGCGCTGCAAAGGCAAGTGTGATACCCAAAGGCCAGTCAGTTGCCCAGTTCATCAATCATTGCCCAATGCAGCAATTTTGGCGTACCTGGCAGTCATTCATTATACAGGTGAAACTCGAATAATTAGAATATCGTGCAAAAGTAATTGCAGTAAGTGCTGCAAAAGGGGCCCAAACCAAGTACTGAGTACATATGCATGCTTGTACTTTTCAGAGGTCCGATATTGTTCTATGTACAATCCTTGTTTTATTGATTGCATGTAATAATCTACTTTTTTGAGGTTGTGGATTTGGGGTTCTTGGGGTTTTCATGAGCTGTAAGCCATAATCACCACAATGATGACAAATCACGGCTTGAATTATCTTGCTTTGCATGTAATGAGTCTATCTCATATATTAGTTTCACCTTTTAAGTTGCAGTTGAAATAAATGAACTTTGCACGATATTCTAATTATTCGAGTTTCACCTGTATGATGGTGCATTCACATCTCAGCAGGTATACCCTGCTGAAAGACTTTCTTGACCATAGTTGACTGTCTCGTGTGGGGACCCGAAGTTGGACATGGGAAGGTTCTCAATAACCCAGGTCATGGTGTAGCTAGTAGTAGTTAGTCACTAAACTGGACTTATTTGTAATAATGCTGAAGGCGTTTCGTAGCCACTTTTTGGAAGTGAAGAAGTGGCTGGGAGAAGCTCCGAAATGTCTTCAACATTACAGAACAAGTCCAGTTGAATGTCACTAACTATTACTAGGTTAGCCATGGGATGCTCCTGGCTAGCTGCTATATATGCTTTGGGTATGCGAAGCAGACATCCCGTATATATCTGAGGATGTAAAACAGCCAACACAGTTCAGCAGTACGAATTGTCATCAGATTGCTATGTGATGCCTATGTACAACTTTATTATCGCCATCCATAGGGAACTTTGCAGCCAAAGATGGAAGGTTAAAGGAAACTTGTTAAGAGATGCAAGGCTGCCATTGCTAATCACCTTCTGCTTCTCATTCTGTCCTGCAGATCCTCTGGCTTTTGTAGTGTCTGATTAACTGGCCAGATCAAGTATGCAGGTCAGGTACTCTAGCTTCACGGGTTGCATACTTGTTTCTGTTCAATAACTCAGGAAGTATTGAAGCCAGAGAAAGCCAAGCAGTTAGAACATTAAGGAGGTGAACAATGGCAGCCTGCGTATTTTTTCATGACAGGTTTTCATTAAAAGATTTGACTACAAACACATATATAATCAACAATCCAAATAGACCCAAAATGGTGTTATTAGGCTGATCAGCGTTCCCTGTATAGGCACAGTGAACCCAAGTGTCTGCATCGAGGAGGTGGACCTAGCCCAGAACTTCTTGTCACATATGGAGGGAGCTGCGTACAGTAGGTAGACTCTTACCTTAACTCCTCCACTCTCTCCATTCTGCCAGACATAACCCATGACAATGTGACTAAGGATTGTTCTGGCCAGACGCTGCTGCCGGTGCCCTTTCAGTTGCTGTGTCCCCAACTCTGGCATCTACAAGGCAAGAATAGGAAACCAATATTATTTTATGTAGATTAAATCATATCTACCACCATTGTAGAATTAATATCCCAAGACTGAACTAATGGAACGTTAGTAGAACATATATTTAGTTGGCCACTTCATATCACATGCTCCAGGTTCAAATGATCTAAGGAAGAAAATAAGTGTTGCCTATGGCAGCCAATCAGTTTTTATTCATAGTTTTCTAACTATCATTTAGGTGGGGCATGGTCAGTTCCAATATTCAACGGCCTTTACAAAACTGTGGAAACACAATGGGGAAACTCCAACGTCCATCACTATTCACTATCACTACAGGCTAAATCCCGCATTTCAGACAGATGCCTTGAGAATGTATACTGTATATCTATGGATATATCTAAATAAACAGTTGTTGGGTATCTGGTTTGGAGGTGAATGTGTCTATCTTTTGACTTCACCCTAAAGAAGGTTTCCTGCGCAGATGTGCCCTGTACTGTATCTGTATTAGAAATGTGGCTTTTCCACTGGCAGTGGATATCCAAAACTGTAAAGATCATGGCGTGAAACCTAAAAGCTGGAAATATACAGCGTGAGAGAGGAAAGACATCAGGTGTCACTGACTGTTTACTATGTCAACTTTTTAGCCAAGCTTTAGTGTCACAAGCCTTAGTGAATCCTATAAACATTCCTATAGAGAACAGGTGGTACAATATTTCTTTATCCTGCACCCCATACTGGATTCTTAGTACATAAATTGTTTTTCAGCAGAGCAGGTAAGAAGCTCATTGGAAATCTGAACTTGGTGTGTCATAAAGATATTGGTGAGGGAGAAATCTTTCTGTTGGGATCCCAGAAACATCCAAAAACCAAGCAAGGGATCAAACCTTGAGGTTTTCCTTTAGGCTATGTTAACACCATATTTGCCCATCTAAAGCATTTTGGATGCATAAACTAATTTTTGCAATCCACATCAATGCAGCTTTTTGCTGTAAACCGTTATCCTGATTATTGCCGAGTTATACTGAGAACTGACTCTTCCTGTGCTGAAAATGCAGACTGATGTGAACAAGCATTTATGATTTTAGTACAAACCAGGACACAGTAAGCTAGTAAGGAAGTTTAAAAAAAAAAAGTGAAATGGAGAGCTGGTAGGATTAATGCCGGAGCACGATAGGGCAATGCTGTGCTACCCTCTGGTGGTCAAAGTTTCACTACATTATAAATTGCAAATTCACCAAGGTTTTATAAATTACCCGCCTAAATTTAAAAAAATACACAATTTAGAGGGTTATTCACAAAGCTGACGAAGGCAGCCGAGTGAATGACCCAGCCGAAGTGAAGTGAGTTGAACTACGTTCAGCTATTCACTCCGGCTCAGTACGGCTAATTTCAGCCATACATCGGCTGAAATCAACCGTACATCGGCTGCCTTTGGCTGCACTTTGGTCAGCCGAACATGCTCTGCATGTTTGGCTGAGTCGAAGTGCATAAGGACTTCGACTCAGCCGATCCAACATCTGGATCGGCTGAGCCGAAGATCCAGCAGCTCACTCGATGCCGTTCGCCCCTATTCTCATAGGGACCGAATGGCAGTGAGTGAATAGCCGAATGCAGCTGAGCGGCATTCAGCTCGGCTATGCTGCTCGGTACCTCTGTGGTACCAAGCAAAATTTGAAAAAATATTTTTAAAATGTAAATAAATAGTACAATTAAAAAAATAAAGATTTTTTTTTTTAAAAGGAATAAAGATTTTTTTTTTTTAAAGGAAAAAAAATAATAATTGGGTGGAGCTAGCAGTGACAGATATCAAAAGAACAAGAAGTTGCGCTAGGAGGAAACACTATGTGTAAATAATGACCAGCTGCAGCAATTTGCAATCAGAACCACAGTGAAGTCTATAATATGCTGCGCTTGGTATGCAAAATAAAGAAATGGGTGAATAAATTGTCTGTGTCACCTCAAAAACAACTGTGTATCATATATTAATATGTGACCGTGAGCTATTGTATATATTCTCTTACATTGTTAATTAATGAATGAATTGAATTGATACAGTGATTCCTTCTGTAATTAATAATTTCCGAAAAGCCTGTGTGAGCTCTTGCTGTGCAAATCCTCTCTTGTGTTAATAAAGGCTATTAACAAAAAAAAAACAAACACAAGAGAGGATTTGCACAGCAAGAGCTCACACAGGCTTTTCGGAAATTATTAATTACAGAAGGAATCACTGTATCAATTCAATTCATTAATTAATTAACAATGTAAGAGAATATATACAATAGCTCATCTGATTTTACTTATTTCTGCTTTCTAAAATGTTGAGTTGCCTTTCATATAAAAATATGGGCAGCACAGTGGCGTAGCGGTTAGCACTTCTGTCTTGTGGCCCAGTTCAAATCCCAGCCAGGGTCACTATCTGCAAGGAGTTTGCATGTTCTTCCTGTGCTTGCTTGGGTTTCCTCCAGGTACTCCGGTTTCCTCCCACACTCCAAAGACATGCTGGTAGGTTAATTGGCTCCTCTCTAAGTTGGCCCTCTATGTATGCATGTGAGATAGGGACCTTAGATTGTAAGCTCCTTGAGGGTAGGGGCTGATGTGAATGTGCAACTATGTAAAGTGCTGTGTAAATTGTCGGTGCTACATAAATACCTGTAATAAATAAATAAATTATGCACTTTGCCTGCTGCGTGCTTGTTCAAGGTCAAACCAACGAAAAAGCCACTCGCACTCCAATATGATGTCCAGTCAATCTCTTTATTGACTAAAGTGGACATGAAGATGTCATACCACATTAGTCAATAAAGAGATTGACTGGACATCATATTGGAGTGCGAGTGGCTTTTTCGTTGGGTTCACGTTATCTGCGGAGGCATCTGCTGTTGCTCCAGCACCCACCCTGTACGCAGAGTTTTTCTCCGGTCAGGAGTGCCATGGGACTAATTGGATTTTGAATCTTGTTCAAGGTCAGTGACTCACAAAGCATTATAAGCAGTACAGGCCAAGCTGTCCAAAAACAGACAAGCATTTGACCAAACGCAACATTGCCAGAGGAATTTATAGTGGTCACTTTTTATTCTCACAGTATGTTTGTTTTTTTGCAGCTGCACAAACACTCCCAGCAATGGTGTAGTTTCTCCTAATCCCTGTCACTGACACATTTGCTGGACAGTTTGGTCTGCATGGACAGTAAATATGGAAAAAATACAAATAAAAGCATTTTAAGTAAAATTAATTCATTTTTAAAAAAAGAAACACATTCCCTACACAATTATAGTGGACAATAATATTTCTGAGCTTTCTCTTAAACTGCATCTAAACCTTTTTCGTTTGAGAGATTTTCCTGAACCAAAGAAAATTCTATCAAAGCAAGTATAGGCAGACCTCAAGTGTCTACAGCATGAGGAGACCAGTATACGATGCCAATTTCACTGCGAAAAGGCATCTCCGTCCAGCATTCCAAGGCGGCTGAACATAACACCCTAGACCACTTATTAAAAATACCTTCAAAAGAGTGATGGCAAACTGTGGTCTTCATAATAGCAGTTTCCACCACTTCTCCAACAACAAAATAAGTCTAAACAATTACCTTTACAAGAAAGTCATGTCTACTGATGAGTCAGAATGTGAAATGTATGGTTCTGGTGACCTTCACAGGATAAGACACATACTGACTGATAAGTCACCTCCATCTATTCTGCAGGGGCACACCGTGCACTCTGGATTAGAGTTATGTAGAAAGTAATCAATTGTTCACCAGGATCATCTCAAGAAAGCATCAAAACTATACCATGCCTTCATGAGTCCAAGACACAGCAAAGAGTGATGACTTTGAAATACATTTCCGACAGTCAACTTTGAAAATGTTTTAAAAGGGAAAAAGCAAAACATAGTGTAACAGCACATGACACCGCTTTCAATGCCGTACAATATGGCTTAATTGGAGTCTCAGATTCTGAGAAACCCAAAGAAATGATTTCCAGGCATGGTACAGGTGATTGCTGGTGGGCACATGAAATGGTGAGATTTTTTAACTCAGAAGATCTAACAAACCTTTGACTTATATTAAAGGAGAACTATGAGGTGAGTGATTTCCACTCACCTCATAGTTCTAGCCGACCTGTGACAATGAGACTGTCACAGGTCGGCTCAGTAGCTCGCGGTATACTGAGCTTAGGGTAACGGGAGAAGGCTAGTTTGTGTCCTCCCGTTACCCTAAGGAGAACTATGGGGAAAAGCCCTGACCCCATAGTTCTCCTTTAATGTAACTCCCGGAGTTGTCCTCAATTCTAGAAATCGTATTAGCAATTCTTTAATGGCAACCAACCACATGATACCATTTAAAGCTCTTCTCCCGGCAGATTTACTTTTCAATGAAGCCAATGCCTCAGCTTTATTATAAGGCTTCATCTTTAAGATGCCCCAGCTCCTTTTAATTACCCAATTCATCAGCAAATGCTACCTGCTAACTGTTCTTGTGGCCGCATTTACTGTTGAGGAGACCAGTCACCCCATTGCATTACATACATTTTTGTTTATTGTCATGTGAGTTTTTATAAAACAATAAAGACTAATAATTTCAGGGCGGTGGTGGGGCGCCAGAGCTAAGTCCCAGCTGCAACCTCTGCAACCCTGGTAGTTCTCGTGAAAATGCCAAGTTTCGGCTCTGGTATCTGAACTGGTATCTGAACATCCCTACTTTCCTCCTTCAGAAGACTAGAAATGAGTGATGTTTCCCATTTCAGCCAATCACATATCTTCAATAAGTCTAATGTGTTTAACAAAGACAATAGCTTGAACCTGGTATTAATGGATCCATGGTGGCAACACTCACCTTACTGACTTCATCTCGTAGTTTTTTGGTCTCAATCAAGACAGACAAACATTCTGCAATGTCCATCCAAGGCTTGTAGTAGTCGGGGAGTTTGTCCTGTATCAGAAGGAATGGGAAAGAAGTTATTAAGACTGAAAATGTTAACATGTGACATAGTGAAATGGAACTCTCAGACTAGGCCAACATTTTCCTGAAATTTCAGCTAACTGCAATGGGGAGAAAGAGGAAATTAAGTTTTTTTTCTCATGGTTTTTAAAGTTGCAACAAGCTTTAAATGGCTCCTGAGGGTCACAGAAGCCCTTTCAACTAGATTTTTTAGATTGCAAGCCCTCACGGGCAGGGCCCGCCTTACCATCTTGTCTTGAATTCTATTGTGATTGTAATGTCTTCCTGATATTGTAAAGCGATGCGCAAACTGTTCATACTATATAAATCCCGTATAATAATTAGGGATTCACCAATACCGATACTAGCATCTGTATTGGTGCCGATACCGAGTATTTGGGCCAGGCAGCGCGTCATTACACGCTGCCCAGCTTCCTGATTGGCCGGGAAGCCCACTCCATGCTCCCTCATCACTTGTCTCACGAGGGCTGTGCAGGGTCTCACCTGGGCTGTGTGCGGTCTCACCTGGGCTGTGTGCGGTCTCACCAGGGCTGTGTGCGGGGTTTAACCAGGGCTTTGCGTGGTCTCACCAAGGCAGTGCGGTCTCACCAGGGCTGCCATCTCAGCAGAGCTGTGTGCGTTCTCACCAGGGCTGTGTGAGGAGTCTCACCAGGGCTGTGCGTGGTCTCACCAGGGCGGTGCGCGGTTTCGCCACGTCTGTGTGGTTTCACCAGGACATAGTTACATAATATTTGAGGTTGAATAAAGACATAAGTCCATCAAGTCCAACCTATTGTGTGTGTGTGTGTGTGTGTGTAGGCGTATCACCAGGCCGTGTGTGGTCTCACAAGGGCTGTTTGCGGTATATCGCCAGGGTTGTACGGTCTTCCCAGTGCTGTGTGTGGTTTCTCAGGAGCGGACATCAGGTTCTCACAGGTGCAGGCGGGTGTGGGCTCGGGAAGGAGATGTGCAGCCGGATGGGCGCTGTAAACAGCCGTTGCAAGGTCCCCACGAGGCTGCTGTGAGGTCCCCAGCAAGCGTGGACCTTATGGCGGCCGAATGTGCCAGTATCGGCTCCTATCAGGGCATTTTCATGAATATGCGTCCTTGTGAAAATGTCCAGTATCAGCACTGATACTAATATTGGTATCAGTGCATCCCTAGTTATCTGTATCTAATAGAGCCGAATTATATCAAAACAATTCACTCCCTATGAGGCTGTTATCTGTATCTAATAGAGCCGATTCATTAAAAAAACAATTCACTCTCTATGAGGCTATTATCTGTATCTAACAGAGCTGAATCATGAAAAACCATTCACTGGCTACGTGGCTGTTATCTGTACATAGTCATTGCAGTGAGGCAATGGCAGCTTACTTCATTAGACATCTGCATATCTCAATATTTAAAGCCCAACTGAACCTTCCTGATTGTAATGCAGTCAGACAGTAATAATTGTGGCCGTGTTATGCTGGCCATACACCAGTAGAAGCAGCAGTCCGGGTCTGAAATGGTCCAACGCACTCCTTGCTCAGTGGTCCAATCAACAGCACTGAGAAGGTGGCATGTCGGACCGCTGGAGGGCCACCACCTCTGCATTGACCGGCGGTCTGGCTCTCCAGTGTGCTGCAAGCACAGGTTAATTGTACAGTTGTAACAAAATGGGCCACAATTCATATTAGTCATATTCAGAACCACCCCAAAGTTTTGTAAGACTACAAATTGTGTGCAGCACAGTGATGATGTCACTGCTACGCGGGATTACAAAGGTTATTGGCTAACTGACTATGGAATTGGTAATTGGTTATTGAAGAATATATTTAGGGGAAATTTTCTGTACTAAGCTATATAATGTTGGTTCTCATACCAGTATCCCGAATAATAGGATCAGAAATACCAACCAAGCAGAGAATGGAAATATAAAATTATGTCTATACGATGTGTGATATCATATCAGGTCAGAGCTAATAGTTGTGTGTCATCATGTGCAGGCTACGACCAGTGCCTGTTTTCCATATCCCTGAATGTCATATATGCTCTAGTTCAGGGGTAGGCAACCTCAGCATCCAGCTGTGATGAAACTACAAACCCTATCATGCTTCTTCTTCTTCTGGGGGTCATGCCTGTGGCTGTTAGAGTCTTGCAATACCAATGAGATTTGTAGTTCCACAACAGCTGGAGTGCCATCGTTTGTCGACCCCTGGGCTAGTCAATGTCCTCATCCCTGCCCCAACACAGAGAAGGTTACACACCCAGTTGGGACTGTTTTTCTTCTTCTTCTGGCAACACATGACGCCTCTCAGAATGTCAATCATGTACGAGGTCTGAATGTCTTTGACCTCCTAAAAGAATTCCTGATTCAGTGTGATATTATTATTACAGGTGTTGGGCTTACAGAGGAACTCCCGCAATTCAAAAAATGTGCCCTTGCAGTGGGGCTACCCTCACCCTGCAAGGGTTAAGTTAAGGGGCTCAAATAAAGCAGATGTACTCACCTGAACCTCGTTCCCTCTGGGTTGCTAGACCGGTCCCTGCAGCCTCTTCTCCTCCGGGCTCTGGTTGTCTAAGGACCTGCGACATCGTCACGTCTAGTGCAGGTCCATTGACTTGCATTAGACGTGAGGACACCAAGGGACAATCCATAGCCGGGGCAGAGAGGTGAACACCGACCACCATGGGACCAAGGATCAGGTGAGTCTATCTGCTTTATTTGAGCTTCCTAGACAAAACGAGCACTTAACCCTTGCAGATAAACTAACCTGATCCCCGGTCCCTCCTGGCTGCTAGACCGGTCCCCCAGTCGGGCTCCAGCGCTCTAAGAACCAATGGCGTCTAATGCTGGTCCGTTGACTTGCATTAGACGTGAAGACGCCAAGGGACATTCCATAGCCAGAGCAGAGAGATGAGCGCCGCCTGCCGTGAGTCAGAGGATATCTTGTTTATTTGAGCCCCCCTAGACAAAACCAGCACCTAACCCTTGCAGTCCGGGGGGGTAGCCTGGAAGTTTTTTCAATTCCCAGAGTTCTTCTTTAAAATAGGTTTCTCTCACCAGAGGGTCCCGCAGGATGAATCCATGTTCCTCGGACACATAGCAGTCTTCCAGATTTTGCTTCTCCATTTGTCTCCTTAGTCCCGGGAACGTCTGCTCACCTTCTCTGCAAAACAGTCTGAACTGAGTGGTGTATCTGAGGCCCGGACACACCAGGGATGCACTGTGTCAATATTCAGAACATGACAAGGACACTGAGGCTTAGAGAGTAATAGGAAAACAGGAGAAACCGGAACATTCCTATGACTTTATCTTATAGAATATACTGTATACAGAGATCACAGCTACGACAGCACCCAGCAAAAGTATTCCCCTCCCCCAACCTTGGACATTATCATGTTTTATTGTCATGGAACATTTAGCCAAGGCAGATTTTATTTTTTTACACTGGTCACCAGAAATATATTCATTAAAGCTGAACTCTGGACACAAAACCTTCATTTAAGTATATTCCTCAATAGTTACAAAGGATAGAAGTGCACCAAATACCTTGTCAAACTAGGGATGCACCAATGCCGGTATTTCGGTATCGAGTACCGATTTATTTTTCCGGTACTCACCGATACCGAGTAACGGAAGTCCCATTCAGAAAGCCAGGCGGTGTGTAAAGACTCGCCACCCGGCTTCCCGATTAGAAGGGAAGCCGTTTCCCTGCTTCTCGTCACTAGGTGATGAGGAAGCCGGGTGCTGTGTAATGAAGCAGCGCCCGGTTTCCCGATTGGCCGGTGAGGTGACGAGGAAGCATAAAGCCGGCTTCCCACGTCATTACACGGTGCCTGGCTTCCTGATTGGCCAGCTTCTGACCAATCAGGAAGCCGGGCAGCACGTCATTACATGCTGCCCGGCTTCCTGATTGGCCGGGAAGCCGGCTCCATGCTCTCTCGTCACTTGTACTAGTATCGGTATCGGTATTGGTGCATCCCTACTGCAAACCCAGAAATTATTTTAAATAGGGGCGTTCTGAGGTGCGGTGTCACCGGTGACACCCCACCATGACGTCAATGCGCATGTTACCTGCCATCTTGGTGATGGATGCTGGTGTTCTGTCAAAAGCGACAGAACACCGGCAGAGAGAAGAGGGGAGCTGTTGGGTTCCCAGTCCATGACCAAGTGCCCGACTTTTCAGAGGGGATGACACCAAAATGACTGTCAGTCGTTTTAGTGTCACCCCCTCCAACGGTGTCATCTGGGTGTGGGCCGCACTCCCTGCACCCCCCTAGTGACGCCACTGGCAGTGACATCATCACTGTGCTGCACATAGCCTGTGCAGTTAGAACAGTGGGAGGGGCTCAGCAGGCTCCACCCACTACAGGCTGCCTGCAGAAAACAACAGGAGGGGACGGAGACAAGACCAGTCACCCTGCACAAGGAGAGAGAGCAGCAGTGACTGGTCTTTTATTACAGGAAGCTCCAAGTCTCAGATTGGATTACTGCACAGATCTGGAAGAAATACACAAAGCTCTCCAAGATTCCAGGAAGAACACATGACTCTTGTATGAGGACAATATTTGGAATTTAGCTTTAAAGTGCAACTGAAGGCATAACTTTTTTTTTAGTTTTGGATGGAGTGGAGTGGTAATTAGATTACCGGTCAGGTTTTTATTATTGTCTGTGTCTTTGTTAGGCAGAGTCACCCTCTCTATTTGTCCTGGTGACCGTTATCGCTGAAAGTGAAAGAAAATTCAAAATTTTGGGTTGTCATCAGAATAGGAATAGATGGGAAATCTTCCAATGGGGACACTAGCTTCGGTGACTGCTAAGGATTTCCCTCACCTTAGAGAGAATTCTTCTCACTTCCTGTTGTGGTAACGCAGGAAACGAAGGGGAATCCCCCCAATGACAAGCAGATAGCAAAAAACAAGCTAACATGGGGAGACGCTGTCAGAGCACTGCAGCATGGCAGAGCGGTGAGAAGAGAGAGAGAGAGAGACGATCGGCCAGGATCTGACAGCCAGCGGCTCTCTCTCTCCTCACCGCTCCGCCATGCTGATGTGACAATTGTGTACTGCAGCTTACCTGAAGAGAACACAACAATTAGAAGTTAGGGTGAAAAACGCAGGTCATAAACACCAGGAATTTCCCAACTACATGTTGAGCGCAGTAAAGGTACCCTAAAGTGTACACCAGGTGTAGCCAAACTTCAGCCCTCCAGCTGTTGCAGAACGACAAGTCTCACAAGTCATTGCAAGAATTTCACAGCCACAGGCATGACTTCCAGAGGCAGATGCATGATGGGATTTGTACTTTCACCACAGCCGGAGGGCCAAAGTTAGGTTACCCCTGGTGTACACCTATAACCGGTCACTACATAAAGAGCACCCAGCTGCAATTGCATGTTTAGGAGCATGTAAAAAATTGGTCCAGTTTCTCATACTCGGTTGCACTGTATAAAAGAGCCCTCATGCTTTCTCAGAGTTAAGTACAATGAACGAATAAGGTGCCGCTGCTGACAAAAAAAAAAGTAACATTTTATCCAGCAATGAGACATTGAGGTCCTCCTCAACTCCCTGAGGTTCAGGGCCAGATCCTGATAATTAGCAGACACTCTACACTGCTCCCAGTCTGTGACTGCCTTTGATGTGGGATGATTTATCTTCCAGGTCTGTTGTCCTTTACAAATGCCATTTATTTACATTTAGATTACACTACAATAGAAAACTGTAAAGACTCCCAGTGTGAAGTGTCTTGGTTTATTCTTCTGTCTCCCATAGGTAAAGAGCAGACAGCTATCTGCACATTCTAGGGCTAGTATTGCGGTATGGAGGCTTGATCCACTTCATCAGCAAAAAAAAACTCTATTTATTCCAAGTCTTCTGCACTTTGGTTTCAGGATTGTTGCATAATTCTATAGAAATGTGGACTTTAATCACCCGCAGTTCTGAATACTGTAGTTTTTTGTATGATGTATAGAGTACAAGTGCTATACATATCCTGCAATCGTCAATTATCTGATCTGTAGGAGTTTGTCTTCTCTCAGAGGTCAGCAGGGAATGTTCTTCACCGTATCTCTTCTGTTGAAGATACAGCCCTCCGTTATTGCATTTTCTCTCCATGGCGGGTTCCTGGGTCTCAGAGAATGTTACCTTTACATGGGCTATAGACACATCTGTAACCAGCTCCCACATGGAATTAGCAAATCAGTATTGGTCAGATCAATGCAAAAACAAATCCTTGTGGTTGAACATTTGCTGTACAGAAGGTAAGAAATTCCTTCCTCATCAGATAAATGTTACTTCTTCAGACCATTCCCAAGCTAAACTTTAATAATGATAACCAAGGAGACTATTGGTTGTCAGAAAGTATCCACCCCAATCCTGATCACTGATACTACATCATGCTGTACGTCACTCCACAGGTTAGTCACTCAACCCCTAACAAACCCTTCTGGTTACAGTACAGGCTCCACTTAGATGGTCACCAGGCTCCACTTAGATCAGTGGTTCTCAACCTGTGGGTTGCGACCCAAATGTGGGTCGCAACCCACAGTTGAGGGGGTCCCCACGTGCCTTGTGCTGCTCTAGGTAAGAGGCTCCTCAGCCTCCTCCTAGCGCAGCAGTGTCAGTACTCCTAGATGGCGCTGCAGCAGCAGCGGCCGGAGAGGATCACAGAGAGGGGAGCAGGCAGGAGTGAGGGGAGGTGAGTGCTTGATCACCACAGAGCCCGCACTGGGCACCACTGAGGCCGCACTGGATGCCACCAGAGAGGCCCACAAAGCCTCCTAGGAGCCCACACAGATACTAGTATTGGTGCATCCCTACATTTTACAGTTGGGGGGTCACCACAAGTTGGCAAACGTTACCAAGGGGTCCCGGCCCTAGAAAGGTTGAGAACCACTGACTTAGATGGTCTCCAGGCTCCTCTCAGATGGTCACCATGCCATCTACATTGGGTGATAGGGACTCTAGTAAATGAACCCATATTGTAACATAGTGACTTGAACCCTCTTCACCAGTTCTCTTGTTGTAGGAGAATATTAACAGAGACTGTGTAATCCAAACTGTAATTTATTATTATTTATTATTGATAAAACTCGGCAGATTAAATCGAAGAAGCGTGCAGCTTTGAAACTTGTCGGCTTTTGTGTGAAACCTAAATGCTCATGGGTGGTGTACATCAGAATGGCAAGTCAGTGTGGGGTCTAAAGGACCCCTTATCTTTATACATTGGAGGAGTGACCAGAAAAAATAAACAACATACAAAGCCACATCTGCGGTTACCATTTGTCCCAATAGGCTTAAAAGAGAACTATAGGGTAACCTTTTTATCCCATAGTTCTCTTTAGGGTCACAGGAGGACATGTACTAACCTCCTCCCGTGACCCAAAGCTCGGTATATAGCGGGCTATTGCCTGCTATATACTGAGAGCGCCGCAGCCGGGATGGATCTCGACAATACTGTAGAGACCCACCCAGCTGGCTGAGTGACAGTGGGCTCCACCTATCTAGAGGCAGAGCCAGCTGTGTCCGCCACCTCTGCCGTCTGTCCCGCCAGTCAGTGCTGGAAGAATCGGAGAGGGGGGGATTCCTGCGGGGATTGATGACTTACAGTCACGGCTCTCAGCAGTGAGATAATCGGGAAGTCAGCGAGCGACGGTATGTGTTCTCTCACTTCCTGATCTATGGAGCTGACGTGTGACAGTTTCAATGTCACATGTCGGCTCGAACCATGAGGATGAGTGGAAATCACTCCCCTCATAGTTCTCTTTTTTAAAAAAAATGTTTTACTTCGGAGAGGAGTATTTGTGAGAAGTGACCTTTAAACATCTGGATAAAAGAAGTGCACTTTATGCCTTAAGCCTTATCTAAAGCTATATCTATGAACTAAGCAAACATAGTCTATAGAGTCTCTGTCATCTTTTCCTTTCATTCCCAGCGTGTCATGTCATGGGAAACGCGAGCAGTGTCTACACGGACAAAGTCTACAACAAGTCTGTCTTAGCAGCTTTTATACTACTTCCTGCTACAGGTGCCCAACGTCCTGGGACTGTAAAGTTGCTGCATTTTAAAGCTGAATGTACATACACTGAATTCCTAGGCTCATGTAATGGAGTAAAGCCTTCTAAAAAACAC